CATGCACGAAAAAAAGAAGGGGAGTGGTGTGGGAGGATGCAGACCCCCCAGGACCAGGTCCCAGGCCCCAATGTACAACAATCGTCAGTCTAAATATAAATGTATAGAACTTTAGTAGCTAACGTCGAGCATGGGCCTTGGGGGGCAATGCTCAGTGGGAACTGGACAGGCAACGCTTTTTGGCGGATAATTTAATTTGCGACGACATTTAGTTGTATGTATTTATTTATAGTATGTATTGTTTTTGTTTTTTATTTAAAAATATTAGAGTTTGCACACTGTATGTAAATACAGTCAAGACTGTATTTCTATATTTACATGTTTATTTTATATATTAAAATAGCCTTCCTGACCTTAATTTTACATTAGACTACAGTATCTAGTTTGTGACAAAATCAACCTCTTGTTCTATTTAACATATAAATACAGACGCATAACTCAGAAAGGGGCATTTTTAGTCCTGCCCACTAGATTTATTTGGGCTTTGAAATGTCCGTAAGTCCTCGTTCCACGTGATGTCATCAAAGTCTCATGCGCCGGTCTCGGGTGCGAATTTCCAAATCACAAATCAGTGACCAAAACATACACAACAAGAGAGCCACAGCACATACTCTAAAACAGAACCACTGCACATACTTGCTCAGCTATACACGCATAATCTCGTACAAACCTCTCTATAGCATAATACACAATGTCTCAAATCGACGAATCAACCCGCAGAGAGCTAGACGGTATGTTTCTAAGTCGAGGCGACTTATCTATTATTGTATCTAGATATTTTTCCCGTGCTTTTGCAATCAAGAAATCACACGGGAACATAGCCCGCGTAGACGATATATTTAATTATTACAAGGATATGCATGCTGTATGTTAATATAGTTGACGAATAACATGTGACTCAATCTAGCTTAGTATACTTTCATGTTGTGTTCATTGCTTCTTTACCGATGCGCATCAGATGGTGTCCTCTAACTTTTATTTCACGGATAGAACTGCTGTCCGTGATATTACTATGAATGCTAGTTCGATGTCTACCGGCGTGAATCATTTGGTGCGATGTCGATATGGTCTATTGTTTAGATTCAACGGTGTAGATACTACCCTGTATAGATGTGGTATTATCACGACTTTATTATCAGACGTACGAGTATACATATGCATTTGTACACTTACAGTGGCCTTCCAAAAATTAGTCCACTTCAATCACTTCCATGCGTGTTTGTAGCTCTATGTATGTAATCATACTGTCTTATACGTATGTATTTCTTACCAAGGCGTGTACTACATATAATCATACACTTATAGATATATATATATACATTTGCATACTCAGTTGCGTTGTACCTCTCAATATATGTATACATTATCTATATATATCGGGTATCTGTACATGTAATATATATGCTGATAACCATGTTTGTTATTGTGCTGTAAAGAGCTTTAGTGCTGTATTTACTTATTGAGTTTCTGTGTACGCATATATATGGATCCATATATAGACAAATATTCCTATACAATCACATATATGCGCATATATGTACATATATATTCGTTTCTATATATATATATACACCTGCGCACATGTGTTGTTTGTTTTGTTAAATGAAGCACATGTCCATATATACGTGCTCGTTCGGCCAGTTGCGTGCATTTGACGTGCATACCTGCATGTATTATTGTCATATATACTGTAGCATACACAGGCATGCATATCTGTACCTGGGTTCCCAATTGATTCTAATTTCGATATGAACTGTTCATTTAGTACTATGCAGGTGAAATGTAGTTGTATTGAAAGCTATATCTTTGTGATTGTCTATTTCATTGAACAGTAATTTGTAATTTTTGTATAGTACATTAAAAAATGAATCTATTCATGTGTATCCCTGCACAAGCCTTATCGCTTTATACTAAAGTCTCGTCTTCCAATTACATGGTGTGCCATGAATACGCAGTAGAGTCCGTTTTCCATCATAGCAACATTTCTCTATATGGGGTGCGAGTATTCTTTGGTACTCTATCCCAGTTCGTCGAAGGTCGGTTATTCGCGATTCGGTAGAAAATCATCTCTTCCATCGTTTTGTCCGAGAGGTTTTATCGAGCACAGAGTGAATATCCAAATATACATATCCGTATTAAAAAAATCCACCCGCCTGGAACGTGATTTTTTTTTCTAGCTACATTGGCTGATTTCTTTCTGATTGCATTGAATTCTGCAGGTTTCTTGCAACTAGAGGACCAGAAGGCACGTTTCCACAGCATGGTTCACGAGTTCACGGACAAGTGCTTCGATAGATGTATTGGTATGTCACATCTCTTCATGCGGTGTTCCCTGTATCACTACTTGCCTCGCAATGTTAATGATCTGTGCAGGTTTTGATATCTACTGTCCACCTTACTACCAGCGTATACAATCTAGTGTTATATGCACCCCTCAATTTTGTCGTGCCATTGATTAGGCAAGTTTATATCACTGCAAATCTTTTTGAATCGACGAGCAGTTTCTAAAAACTACAAATGATGGTTTTAGGGTTTTTGTTCCTCCGCTGGTGTTTCTATACGAGATGCAGAAGTGAACGTGGGCTGATTTAATCTACATTTTCTAATCGTGTTAGCAGTCACAGTTCAAACTACAGCCATGCGACCAATATATATATATATTTGTACTCTGCTTGGGGTTATCCCTCCCATAGCTCTCGCAAAGCTTATAACGCGTTTGCGAGCTTCATTGAGAACTCGTTTATTCAAAACCCTGTCTCTACCTCATTTCTTACAATTGTAGGTACACCTGGAAATTCTCTTTCCAGCAAAGAGTCTGCCTGCCTGGGCAACTGTGTAGAGCGATTCCTAGACACCACCTTCTTCATTGTCAACCGCTTGGAGGCCATTAAGCAGTAAAGAATTCAGCAGTATAACACATACATTGGCATCGAATTGAGCGATATGTAGTTTGATATCTGTATACATACATACAGGCATATGAATATGCACACACATATCATGTACTCTGTGCATGGTGTGTAGCTGGGCTAGTGCATCTCAGCGTGTGGTAGTGCGCGAGATCTCGAGATTTTAGCTGATGATGTGTGAGAAGAGCATGGTTGTAGATATATAGAAGTGTACCGACTATTTTAGGTTTCTTCACTGACACAAGTACACCGGAGTGGCCTCGTTGTCGAACTGAAGATCAGAGATCTTGACAGAATCGATCTGAAGAAACACTGAACAACAAACTTAATAAAGGCATCTTTGCGCATTTCAAGACTCGGAGGCGCACGCAGTGTTCTGCGTGCCAGAGTGGTCAAAAGGCCTTTGTTCGCACACAACGACGTATATATATGTGGGCCTACGGAGTTCGTGAAAGCGGGATTGTCTTGTATGTTAGAGGGGAGTTCGTGAAAGCGGGATTGTCTTGTATGTTAGAGGGGAGTTCGTGAAAGCGGGATTGTCTTGTATGTTAGAGGGGAGTTCTTGAAAGCGGGATTGTCTTGTATGTTAGAGGGAAGTTTGTGAAAGCGGGGTTGTCGACGCATGCATGTGTAGTCCCACATTGTAAAGTAATCGCAAAAGGAATTCATCTGTTGTGTACCGCTATGTACGAGGCACCCGACAGGGGGGGGGGGGACACATGTAGTCTAATGCCTTATGATCCTCTTGTCCGTGCATCATGGCAACCAATCAATACAGTATCAACTGAACCTAACGATATACTTTGACGGTGACGATTCTGTGCCTTGACACACTACACCGACTATAATTAAAGCGCACAAAAATACATCAGATCGATACCTGAAAAGGAATGCAGTCCGCGTGGAGGATGTTCTTCACAACTACGAAAATAACTTAAGAATCGAACACATACGATGTCCCTTTCATTTTAATGAGCGCACGTATGTTGCCAACAAAAAATTGCACTCATGAATATTGCTTATGGAATATTGTATTCACAAATATATATGTATGAAAATAAGCTTGATTTATA